TTTAGGATGCTGATCGTATTTTAGAAACTTTTATTAAAAATCCACGTATACCGACACCGGAACGTATTTTGCCATATTTGGCTTCTGCTGGGTTCGGGTATATTGCAACAATTATAGGCGGTTGCAAACTCGAACCTGTCCTAATTTCTGCACTGATTGAGAGGTGGAGGCCCGAGACACACACTTTTCACCTTCCATGTGGAGAGGCAACAATTACATTGGAGGATGTCTCTATGCATCTGGGGCTTCCCGTCGACGGAAATATGATGTGTGGTATGGCGGATGGTGATTGGCAATCAATGTGCATTGATTATCTTGGAGCTGCTCCGCCAGAGTTTAATGGAGCTGCGCCTTCATGTGAATAGTGAAATAATAGGTACTGATATATCTAGTGTCCCCGAGGGACATGAGTGACATAATAGGGCAATGATAATATTCTCTGACGAAATAATGGAAGGCGCGCCCCCGGGAACGCGCCTTCATGTGAATAGTGAAATAATAGGTATTGATATATCTAGTGTCCCCGAGGGACATGAGTGACATAATAGGGCAATGATAATATTCTCTGACGAAATAATGGAAGGCGCGCCCCCGGGAACGCGCCTTCATGTGAATAGTGAAATAATAGGTACTGATATATCTAGTGTCCCCGAGGGACATGAGTGACATAATAGGGCAATGATAATATTCTCTGACGAAATAATGGAAGGCGCGCCCCCGGGAACGCGCCTTCATGTGAATAGTGAAATAATAGGTACTGATATATCTAGTGTCCCCGAGGACATGAATGACATAATAGGGCAATGATAATATTCTCTGACGAAATAATGGAAGGCGCGCCCCCGGGAACGCGCCTTCATGTGAATAGTGAACCGATTATAGACACTATTATATGCAACGTATTATAAACTTTCAAAACAAACTTCAGTTCACAATCTTTCAAATTCTCAAATTCCCAAACTCTAAATTCTCAAATTCTCTGAAAATGAGTCGTCTTTCTGCTGTTGTTTGTATGATGGAGAAATTAAGGAAGCTGAAGAGGGGGTTATTTTTGAGTCAGATCATTATATCCCCTTAACCTTGAAGAGAAACATCACAATTGAGGAGTTAATCACAAAAATTTCGTTAAAGATTCGTGTAGCAGGCCAGAGAAGACTATCTTCACTTCAATACAGATTTCCTACTGAACTTTTTCCGCTCACGTATACATCATTTCAGCTTTCAAACGATGATGATGTTTCTATGATGGTTGATGCTCATATGGGGAGTTCACAATCTCTTATTGAAATGTATGCCACTTTTATTGAGGTTCGTGTAACTCGTGGTCTCTCATATTCCTCTCACTTTGGCATTGCATATCAAACTGATCAAGTTGATAGCCCGACACAACTTATCTGTAATGATTTCACATCATTAATGGCGGATCCAACGCCATATACCATGCCATCAAGTTCAATAGGAAGGCATTCATCTGCAACTGCTTATGATCTCAACCCACGTGGCTTCACCAATAATCCATATGGCAACATCTCTTCTACTTCAAGGAGCAGACATTCATCTGCCAATGTTTTCGACTTACATATGGAAATGCCAACGAGACGACAGTCTATTCACATCCCACATGATACAATGGCCTCAAGTTCAAGGGGAGGACACGCAAGCGGGAACTTATTTGACCTCAACATTGGATTATCGGAGGAACCCTCATCTCCACCAGAAGAACCTCTTCGGGAGCCAGGTGCAGATGGTGCTGAAACGGGATTATTCGTTGAACCTGACTCACCACAGTTTAACGTACATTCTGATGATGACGAGGATGACGTTCCGATAAATACAACACCAGCCGAACTTCCTGCACATATGTATGAGGCTGATTATGATGCAATGTATGAGCCTGAATTTCCAGATCTTCCTGATGTTGGCAACTATGGACTTCAATCATCAGTCAATGACGGTAATTTACATATTGGAATGGAGTTCGCATCGAAGGAGGAAGCAATGATGGCAATAAAGAGTTACAATATTCGTAACTCAGTTCAGTCCCGAGTTGATCGATCTAACACGGAGAAATATGTCTGCTACTGCGTCCAACGTCACAACGAATGTCAATGGATGGTCCGTGTATCAAAGAGGAAGAGGAAGAACAACTTATGGGAACTAACCAGATACAACGGTCCTCATACATGTTGTGCAACAGGTATAAACCAGGATCATCCCAACTTGGACTCCAACATTATTTGTCAAGCAATCATGCCCATTGTGAAGTAAAGCTCTCATATAGCTGTTGCAGTGTTGATTTCTGCTATACAGTCACAATATGGGTACACTGTCTCATATAAAAAAGCGTGGTTGGCAAAACAGAATGCCATTTGCAAACTTCATGGCGAATGGGATTCCTCTTACAACGAGCTGCCCAGTTGGTTTCATGTTGTGCAAAGACTTAATCCCGGGACAATTGTTGAGTTCGAAACTCAACATCATTACGTGAATGATCGAATGGTTCGCGATCGCTGTCAATTTTACCGAGTCTTTTGGACTTACCCTCAGTGTATTAATGCAGTCAAGTACTGTAAACCAATTGTCCAAATTGATGGTACTTTCTTGTATGGGAAATACAAGCAAGTTTTATTGGCTGTGGTCCAAGATGGAAACCGCAATATTATTCCTGTTGCGTTTGCCCTCGTTCAAGGAGAAGACACTGAGTCTTGGGCTTTTTTCCTTAAAAATTTACGTTTACATGTTGTCACCAGGGAACGACTATGCATTATTTCAGACCGAGGAGCCGGGATAAAAGCAGCAATGGACTCTTTAGGTACAATGTATAGACCTCCACATGTTCAACATCGTTATTGTGTCCGTCATATTGCTGCAAACTATTACGGAAAATACAAGAAGAACGATGAACGTCAGTTAGTCGTGCGGATGGGTATGTTACTTTTTCCCAATTTTTCTATCAATTTCTTATTACTTATTTATACTTCATATTAACTATTACATATTCCTAATGGCTTAGGTTACGAACTCTTACCTCAAATGTTTGAGTCGATGCTACAAGAGCTGTTTGGCAAAAATAAGAAGGGGTGCGAGTACATTATGGACATCAGCAAAGAAATGTGGACAAATGCATATGACGGGGGGTATCGCTATGGTCATATGACAACAAACTTGGCTGAAGCAATAAATTCAACCTTAAAGGGGGCGTCATTTACCAGTCACGGCGTTGGTCAAAACGACTTATTTTCGTTTGGGTCAACTCTTTGCAAAACTCGGTGGACAAGCTCTTACTTGGATGCAAACCGGACATATTTACCACCCAAGACTAGTAGCCGATTTACAGAAAAAAAGTGGCTACATCAAATGGGATGTTAGTTACAAATTTTTCTCGCACCCGTGAATTGTTTCGTGTAACCGAAATGCCACGTCCGCTGCAAGGGATTGAAGCTAACTCTTTCAGAGTTAATCTGCAAGAGAGGTGGTGCGATTGTGGTTTCTTTCAAGCACTCAAATATCCATGCTCTCATGTCATTGCTGCTTGCTCACATTCGCATTTGGACTACAAAAATTATGTTAATCCCGTATACCAACTTTCACAAGTTTTCAAGGTATATGAATTTGAGTTTCCGCCCATAGGAAACGAAAGAGACCCAAATGAGATTCAAACTTGGCTTACAATTGTACCAGATCCATTGCTATTGAGGGACTCAGGTCGTCCAAAATCTACTAGAATACATTGTGATATGGATATTCGGGAGAAGTCAACAAAACAAAAACGATGTGGGCATTGTAGAAACATCGGGCACAATAGAAAAAAATGTCCAGCTCTGTTATCATCATATAACCGTTAACTCTTATGTAATTAAAGTTTTTAAATGAATGTTTTATTTCTAATAATTTAATGTTATTGCATTTATATAATTTGTCAATGTATGTACACCTAAATAATTTTTTTAACTTTTAAATACATAATATATTAATATATTTATTTAATATAATATTAATATTATTAGTTATAATTTTTTTTTAAATAATAATAATTCCACCTTCTAAGTAGAGAAAATATTAAATTAAACAAATTAAAAGTTATTAAAAATTTATGTATACGATGACACATTTCATGTTCTGATTAGAGGATTAAATTTATTAAATTAAATTTTCAATAAGACTAATTTTATAAAATATGTAAGTCTTGAAGATTAAATATATAATTATACTAATTTATTAACTTATGCATCAATATTTTCGTTAAATATTGATATGAGATGACTATATTGATTGATAACATTTAAATAATTAACTGAAAATTAATAGATCGATAATCAAAATCAAAAATACTCGAAACTTGATAATTCTTACATTATAATCGAAACATTTTACATAATATATTATTAATTTATAATAATAATAAAAATAAACTATTTATTATATAATAAAATACGTGTCTGCTGAGTTGGCAAAGGCGCGTCCCCGGGGACGCGCCTTTCACACGTGGCATCCAACTCAGCGAAAAACACGGGTAAAGCGCGCCCCCGGGGACGCGCCTTTGCCAACTCAGCAGAAAGGATGCTAGTTCTGGAAATATTGGTCAAACGGTGTCAGAAAAGTAAAATTATAATCAAACGGTGTCAGTTATGTAAAAACCCCTTCACTTTGTAGCCTTTTTCAGTACGATTTGCTAGGATAAGATTCCAACACTTGTAAAGACGATGGCATGTATGAACTGAACTAAATCATAGGTTGAGGATAAATGCTAGGGGTACAGATGCCAGTCCCATAAGGCTTCAACTAGTCTACAACATAAGCTACACTAACCCCACACCCACAATCAAAGCAAAACAAATACTACTCAATTACACCACCAGCAGAGGTAATGTCAAAATTTCATCAACTTTAGTTTCAAAAATTGCCTTCATCTTTGCGCAGCTTTGAATGGTAATCAAATCACTTTTGTTTCCCAAGTCAAGAGAAGGATCACACCAAAAATACCAAGCTCGTTGGCAACTAGACACAGAAGTTGAGCTAATATGATCAGTTTGTGAAGCTTCAGTAGATAGTACCTCAAACCTATCATCAGCGCATTACGGACTCTTTTACATAGGATCTGCCACCTGAACTTCAAGTGTGAAGATCAGAAAGTTGATGAGCTACCAACACAAGGAGGGCTACACCTTTAGCTTAGAAATAATATACAACTGTTACTCACGTGAACTCGAGATGAATATTCATAAATCGACGGTTTTCTTTGCTTTGAGATAGTGTTAGGGAGCCTTCAATGATTTGATCTTGCTCCACCTCTATTGGGTCAAAAAAGTATATCAATGTCTGCAAAATTTACATACTAAACATTAAAAAGGGTACATTATAGAATAAAACCGGTATCTCCATGGAGTTGTTAGATGTTAAAAGTAAAGTTGACCATTCAAACTTTTATTATGCTCAGACCAAAACTTGCATACTTCCTAACAGAATTAAACCACTCTTATGTCAGTTGTTTAAATGTCTACAAACTCGGAATAAGCAAAACTAAAATTAGTATGGTACCTGTTCCCAATGTGTTGGAGGATCCTCTGGTGCTGTTGACAGTACAAGTGCTTCATTGGGATTGGAACGTTTCTTCCTTGGGATACCATCAACAGGATTATTATTTGATATGCCAAAAAGTAAGGGTTGGGTAGGATTATTTGTAGGAGAATTTGCTGGCCCACTGAATTCAACATCAAACCAAAATCCAAATCCATGCAGAGGAGCTGGGAATCAAGGAAGTATGAATACTACCCTTAAAATGAATAGACACATAAAAACTGCAAGGACCAACTGTGTAAATAGCATGAAACAAAAGCCTACTTAAAATGATAAATGGTGTGCAACAACTGTAAACCCAAAGATCTTGACAAGAGAAGATAAAATTGATTAACATTATAGCATGGCATCTCAATTGTATGGTTCACAACATGCACACGATGGAAATCCTTGAACAAGCAATTTGTGCACACAAACAGAAAGAAGACAACATATTGCATCCATAAAAAGACAAATATCAATGGGAGGGTTTACCTCGCATCATTGACTGGAACTTGTATCTTGTTGATACAGATTCTAACTCATGGAGTTGGATTGTATAGCAGTCCACATGCTTAACCTGTCAAGGATAATAAATTTTAATGCCACTTGATGAACAGCTTTTAGAAATATACAGTAACAAACAATGTATTAGAGCTCATAATTTGTTCATATAACCTGTACAAAAGCTGCTGGTAAAAAGAATGTCCCAAGCAACAGAATGTCAATATAATGAAGAAGCCATTAGGTTGCAACATAAAAACCATTGGTGCACTTGCGACTAATGCCTTGGCGTTATAAGGAGATTGTGGTTTCTTAGGTATAAAAGCATTACTGCCATGATAAACCTAACACTCGGTCAGGTTGATTATTAGTGCTGCTGGTAAAAGGAATGTCCCAAGCAACAACCACATGGCATTAATGAGAAACTGTTACATCAGAATGTTAATATAATGAAGAAGCCATTAGGTTGGCACACAGAAACCATTGGTGAACTTGTGATTAATGCCTTGGTGTTGTAAGGAGATTGCGGTTTCTAAGGTAAAGAAGCATAACTGCCATGATACACCTAACACTTGGTCAGGATGATTATTGCAGTGCTGCAGTTTTGGGATGCACCAGATTATAGAAGATAATATTTTTTGGCTTGAGGGTCATTTTGTCCCTGTAGTGAAACCTAAATCAGCAATTTCATACAAACTTCCTTATAATATCAATTTTTCCCTCGAACTCATTAATTTCAACTATTTTGACATGTGACCGACGTTCACCATTACGATGCTGACGTGGAAGTTAAGGATATTGACGTGACGGTCTACTGTGCTGACCATGACCACATACGAATGATGACATAGCAGAGAGGCTGAATTAATTTTTTTAACAGAATTCAAAGGCATAATTCAAAGCTTAATGGGTCATTTTACCCTCAAGTAAACTCAAATCAACAATGTCGTGATTCACACAGCCTCTCTGCCACATCAGCATCATGGACTACAGTTGATTGCCACGTCAGCATAACAATCAACACTTCAAAGGACAAAATTGATGCAATTAAAAAGTAGGGACAACATTGTTGATTTAGGTTTACTTTAGGGGCAAAATGACCCCTTAGCCTATAAAAAATCATAGGCAGGAACCAAATGTAATAAGCTACAACCCAGAAATTTCAAAAAATCATATATTTTTATTTACAAAATAAAATTTGGTCTTTCCGATTTCGAAAATAGATTGGGAAAGCTAGAGGGGAATAAAGCAAGAGAACTAGAAGACTCACCACATGTGGCCATGTCATAACATTCTCCCCTGTTATTGTCTCTACACATGGCTCTTCAAATGCACACAGTTTTGCTAATTGCAACATTGCAGACACTGCAAGACAAAATGAAGTCATAATTCAAAGTTTCACACAATCAACACAGAAACAAGCTACGCGTAAAAGGCGTGAGAGCTGCAAGTTTTAAGCAGATTAGTAGAATTTAATCACATGTATGCATAAAAAAATACAGATCTAATTTAGCATCACACTCACTATCAATTCCATAGACATTGCGCCAAAATTCAATGCTGTCTTGGTATCTGACGGGATGTGTGATGGGTGCCATGTACAACTGCAAGCAGCAAAGAGTGAAATAAACACTAAATAAATAAATTTTCATCATGAGAAACAGATTCAGCAACACAATAAAACTTCATAGGACTCAAGATTCAAGACAGCACTAAATAAACTATCAGGTTCAGCTTGCAGCAAAGTAAAATAACACTAGACTAGCAAAGAAAATGAAACACACCGTAGCATTGCAAGGAAGAATAAGGCCTCCACGTTTTAGCCATCGATCTCTAGCAGTAATAACACTTCCCAGCATGCTCTGGAAAAATGTAATGTGGATGATCACAAGTTATATACTTGATATGCAAGGAAAACAAAAGTAAAAAGAATAGAACATAAGATTCAATTGCATGAATAAAATATTGGTTCTCATCTTACAACCTAAAACAGTTCCCGGATATCTCTTAAAAATAATTTAGATATGATGAGGGATTTCAACGATCACCTCATAAAGCAGCATGTAGCCCATCCACTCTGATATTATTACATCAACCTCTTCATCAATTTCAACATCCTGTAGAAACAAAAACTAATATAAGCTTCAGACAGTTCAAGGGAAGTAAACACATTTATTAGAACAGTGTGAAGCACATGATTCCATCCCTCCCCAATCCCACCATCAAGTACAAGTTTATTGGCAGATCTTGTACTTCTACACTTACGTAGTCTACAATAGCCACTGCTTTCCTGTCTCATCCAAATAAAGATGCCAATAGCAGAAATATGGTGTCACTAATCCATGAATTTATAAACCTGAGAGTTAAAAACCAAGCGAATATGAAAGCGGGCAACCCAGTATACATTATGTGGGTCAGTGACCAATAGGTGCAAGCTTTCACCAATTATGATCTTATGATCACCATAACAATGAATGGTGTGTATATCGAGTATGAAAAAGATGTGACCATTTAACCAATTATATCCACAAAGGTTACTACAATTGTAGTCATCTACCAATGCGAGCATCCAGAAGCTGTTACTATGGCAATCACTTGTTCCAAGATCCACATTTACAGAAAACCTTCCTCATTTTATAATGAGATTTAAACAAAATCACCAGCATCCAAGCTATGTTGCACAGATTCAGGGACAGGAAAGTGGAAACAGAAATTTTCAAAATTACAGGGTACAGGTACCGTAAATATAAAATAAATTTTTAAATTCTAAAAAAATGTAAAAAGGTCATAAAAATCATTAAAATTCAATAAAATTCTTAGTAAATTAGAAAACAAAGTCCATAAAAACCCACAATATTAAAGTGCCAAATTATTAATTCTTTATGATTTTTTTACATTTTTTTAGAATTTTAAATTTACTTTATATTTGTCATATCTTTGTCGTACCCGTACCCTATAATTTTGGAAATTGCCGTTTCTCATCCCGGTATATGTATCTGCATCCGTGCAACACAGATTCCACTGACTTTAACAAGTTAAAGAAAGAAAATCTAACCCTAAGTTGCCCTACAGGCCGCTAGTCATCCCTCCAATGAAAACTAAAGGTCAATAATTCAACTCCCCTGCCCAAACTATTTATGGTCATAGAATTCAATAAGCCTGGGAAGAATACATATAAGTTCTTGTTCTTGCAACCATTTAAGGGCCATAGACATCTACAAGTTTGAGAGTAAAAGCCTACCTCAACTCGCCCATGCAATACAATGACCCTTTCAGCCAAGTTATTTGCTTTCACCACTTCGTTGGCCTGCAATCAAACAGCAAATTTTAATATAAACCAAATAGCCAGTTTCATTTCTAAACAAGAACGCAACCAAAGAAAGGTCCTGAGAAGTAAATAATATATACAATTCCACAATTTTGATTGAAAATTAGCATGCATGCTCTAATAGCTGTGTTAACCATATCTCATAATCCCAATGTTGTGATCAACGCATTAAGAAAATAAAAATGGCAATGAGAGAAGGAAAATTAGCTAAACTTTAGCATTCTCAAAAGAGAAGGCAAAAATGCCTAATATTTAAGCACTAATGCAACAAAATACCTGCACTGCAATATCACTGGCATCCACTGCATAAACCTGAAAATACATAATCACTTCAGATATTAGACAGTTGTATTTACTTGAATCCATAAACATTACAAGAATATAACTTTGAGGTAGCAAGAGAAATCTAAAAAAATACTAATGAACAAAATTGAAGTTATATCTACAGTTTCTCTTAGTCAATAGATCAATATAAGCCTACTGTCTTCCTTATGATAAAATTATAAAATTCACGAAAAGCTAGTTAGAGAAAACCTAGAGGAAATTAAAGGGGAAAAATAAAGTTAAACACAATTTAATTTCTAGCAATCACCTGCACTAATTAAATAATGCATTCTTCAGGAAAACCAGTACCACATTACATACAAAAAAACTGAGATTTATTCAATCCTCAAATATATGTGGCTGTATAACACTGTTATAAATATGTCAATCACACAATAAGAAGGTTAAAACATATACCCGTTTTGCACCAGCTTGAGCACAAAATATTGAAAGAATGCCTGTGCCACATCCAACATCCATTACAACCTGTAAGCATGGCCAAAAGCAATGATGAGGAAGAGTAATAAACCAGCTAAATAGCATTTGAAACCACCTACGTTGTTTGAGAGCCGACTGCTTTGTATATATGTGTCAATTAAACAAATATGCATTTCACCTAGGCATGAGATTATAATCTCTACGGTATAACATTGTGACAGGTGAAATACGAACCTTACAGAAAATGCAACCAAGTAAGATAAAACCAGGTATTATAAAGAAAAGAGATCAAATATAGTTTTATAACTAGGAGTACAATAATGGTACTACCTTCCCCTCAATAAAACTCTGGTGTTGCATGACTGCCGCCTTGTAAGTTTCAGTTCGAACACGATCCTGTATGCTTCAGAGATAAACTATGATCAGTATTCAGTGATTTGTCATGCATTTCTATTATTAGTTTAAAGGAAAAAGGTTATCCAATCTTGCAACTGATACCGGCTAGCAACTTTGTTAAAATTATATACAATTTACCCAAACCTGTATAAAATGTTCAACGACAAAAAGAATAATGCAATGCTTTTGGTTACAAATGCAAGATTCAACCTTGCTTAAACAAAGTCAACAAAGAAACAAAGATAATTAATAAGTAGTACCATTTCTTTCAACAATGAGCGTGAGGACATTTTTAAAAAGAAGTAAAAGAAGTTCACACAGTCCGTCAAGAAGTAACACCAAAACAAAAATGAACCCAATTAAGTACTGTGGGAAGAGAAATAACAAAAAAGAAAAGACCTTGATCATTTCTTCATGGATGCCAACGTGGGCATAAGAGTGAAAGTAGGCCTTGTCGAACTCCGTACAAGGGGGAGGGGGTTTCTGCTCTTGCTGATCGTCGTTTTTGGTGCTGGTGTTTTGGTGATTCTGGAATTCAGAATCCCTAAACCCATGGAGGTCACGAGACCTACGACGTCCCCTCCTCCCACGACCTCCACCTCGCTTCTCTCCTCCACCCGGCGGCTGCTGGTTGTTTTGGCGGTAATTATTGTATCCCGTGCTTCCGTGCATGTTTCCTTCTCTTGATGGGTCGCCGGAGAGCAGCAATTCAGGGGCAAGTTGTGAGAAGGGAGCCAACTGCAATGTTGTCGTTGGGATTTTTGTCAAAACCCAAGGCAAGGAAGCTGGTTTTCACTACTATTTGTTGACGGACCAAATCAAGAAAAGGGTTACGGCCTTTTGCGGTGCGTTTGGAACAGCTGGTAATGAAATGATTAGGGCAAACTAAACTAATCCATTTTGACCCAAACCCAAAATATTCATATGTTAAATTTAAATTCAAATTTCTCATTTAAGTCAATAACTAATCCAAACTCAAAAATAAATCAAGCTTGAAATGAAATAAATAAATAAATAATTTAAATAATTTAAATTTTAATACTTTATTTGATAAATTAGGTATATTATATGATAGGTTCATAGTGTAACAATATTATGTTTAAATTAAGAGTAAACTACGTCTTTAGTCACACATCTATTCTCATAGTTCCATTTTGTTCATCTCACTTTTCTTTTCAAAAGCAAATCTAAAGTTATGTTTTAATTTTGTTTTGTTTACTTGCCATTAAAAAAGTAATAGTGATGATGATGTGTCACCATAAAGTAATGTCACATCATCATTGAAAAAAATAAAAAATTTATCACGTCAGTAATTTTATTTTTTAACAATGGTTGACTAAAACAAAACAAAAATACACCGTTGTATTTGATTTTAAAAAATAGTTGGATGACCAAAACGGAACTACAATAATAGGTGAGTGACTAAATACATAGTTTACTCTTAAATGTAATATGTTTCGGTCACTCTCTATGTGAAAAACATGCTTGTGTGCCTATAAGATATGACTAAAATATTAATTATATACTATCACGTTATTATCATAACGGTTAATGTTGTGTTTTGTTACCTTAAAGTTACTTTTGCTATAAAATAAATTTAAGTGTCACATTGATTTTTTTTTCAAGTATTAATAAATTTAAGTACCTTAATGTTGCGAATTATATGTATCTTTTTTTTGTCTTCTTGATTTCAAAACTTCGTCTTGACTAATTCGGACCGATCTACGTCATACATCTAGTTTTGGTTGGTGAGTTTCCCAACAATTTTTTTTTTCACATACAAGGATTCGAACTCGAGACCTTGCTTACACGATATTAAACTACTTATTACTTGAATTAATCCTTATTGATATTTTATGTGATTTTTTTAATATAAGGTTAAGTTTATAAGATATTTAGAGATTTTAAAGCATCAAACTTAATAACCGTAAACACAAGATATAAAACGTAAGTTGTAATTCTTCTATTAATAATGACCTGAGATGACTAAAGTTATAAAATTTATCTTAGGGTCTCGTAGAGTGATTAAAAATTTTATGCATTTAAAAAGTATGCATACATGATTTTGTTTGCTTATAAAATATATTGTTGGACAACCTTTAAAGAATCTCTACAATATTGGTCATGTCAAGTCACTACTGATGGTCAAGGTTTGTAAGAAATATATTATATTAATATTGCAGATGAAACTATATATAAGATATTTTGAAGACTGTTGTTTAGTGCTAGTTAAATGAAATGTTTGTTTTACTTGACATATTTTAGGATTTTTTTTTTAAGGATCGATGTTATTTTAATGATTATTTTATAGAAAAAAAGTGTGATTAAGGGTTAGAATTGTTTATAATGTTTTGACGAAATACTTTTTCGTAGGACATGAACTTAAACATACAATAAAGAAATATAAACTAGTGTTATTTGAAACACAGAAAAAAAATTACAATATGGAATATGTATCATCATTGACCTTCGAGAGGTCCTTATAGATATCGAACCCAACCTGACACAACCCGAAATAATATATTTATTAAAAAATATTATTTTTACTCAATAAAAATAAGGATTTAATTGGAAAAAATAATATATATAGGGGTATTATTGTAATTATCTCTAAATATAAAGGTAAAATTATATGTTTTTATCGGGTCGAGTCGAATCATGTATTTTCACCCTAAACCTAAACCTGATCTGACCTGAACTCAATTTTAAAAAAAAAAACAATCTGACCTGATCGAATCGGGTTAGGTCGAGTCGGAACCTATTAAATTTAGGTCTCATGTCCATCCCTACATAAACTCAAGGTATAAGTGGCCTCCATGAACCCTCTATTAGAGACTCAGTACAAGAATTACAAATTGCCTTTGACATTTAAATTTATTATAAGAAAATATTTTCGAAACACATCTGGATTAATTTCAGTTTTCATACGATGGACACTTAATCTGGAAATACATATTATCAAAATTCACCCCTAATGTTTGACTGGATAATTAATTTGATCTTTATTTTTTTTTAACATTTTAACATCTCATGTTTCATTTTGAGTCAAAATATCTCTTAATTAAAGTATATACTTATAAATAATTAATATTAATACCTTATCATGATGTATCAATATTTATCTACTTATATTATATTCTTAGACCTCAAGAAAATATTATAATCTAACGTATACCATAAATAATAACATATGAGACCACATCTAATAATTAAATTACCATAATCTTTAACTAAATTACCAAACTAACATATCAAACTATGAAACTACTAACATCACTAGCCATGATATCCATATTAAAGACACAAACTACCACCAAATCCAATATAAATCTTTTATATAAGAGTATGAACAAATGGAACCAATTACTTTAAAGATCAATGCATTACATGCCACAATCTTAAGGTGACGTTTGGTTCGTTGGAATGTTTCTGAGGGAATTGGAATCTGTGAAGGAATTGAAATCCAATTCCATATTCTGTTTGGTTCGCAGACATGTCAGATAAATTTGATTTCAGTAATGTAAAATGACAAGATTGCCCTTCTTATTTTTTTGGTTTAATTTTAGTTTGTTTTATAAATTACATGTAGCAATATATTATAAATTTTTTTAAAATAAATTAAATTTATTGATTGATTATTCATTTCAATAAATTATAAAAATCATGCTAATAAACATCATAAGTTAAAATCATCCCAATTAGGGATGGCCATGGGTTGGGTCGGGTCGGGTTTTTGGTCGACCCGACCCGAGAACAAGGGAACCTCCATCCGACCCGACCCGAATATATGAATTAGAAACCCGACCCGACCGAAATAATAAAAAAAATATTTTTATTCAATAAAAACATTGACTTAATTGAAAAATATATATATAGGGGTATTATTGTAATTATTCCTAAATATATAAGGTAAAATTATATATTTTTCGGGTCGGTATTTTTCACCCTAAACCCAAACCCGACCCGACCTAAATAAAGTTTCACCGACCCGACCCGACCCGAATATATGAATTAGAAATCCGACCCGACCCGAAATAATAAAAAAAATTATTTTTATTCAATAAAAACAGTGACTTAATTGAAAAAAATTATATATAGAAGGGTATTATTGTAATTATTCCTAAATATATAAGGTAAACTTATATATATTTTCGGGTCGGGTATTTTTCACCCTAAACCCGAACTCGACCCGACCCGAATATCACACTTAAAAAAACGACCCGACCCGACCAAAATAAAGTTTCACCCGACCCGAATATATGAATTAGAAACCCAACCCGACCCGAAATAATAAAAAAATTATTTTTATTCAATAAAAACAGTGACTTAATTGAAAAAAATATATATATATATATATATAGGGTATTATTGTAATTATTCATAAATATATAAGGTAAAATTATATATATTTTCGGGTCGGTATTTTTCACCCTAAACCCGAACTCGACCCGACCCGAATATCACACTTAAAAAAACCGACTCGACCCGACCAAAATAAAGTTTCACTGACCCGACCCGAATATATGAATTAGAAACTCAACCCGACCCGAAATAATAAAAAATATTTTTATTCAATATATAAATAAGTTACCAAAAGATTGATGATGGTAGTATGGTCAAATTTCAATTCCCTCCAACAAGGGAATTGAATTCCATCATAGAACGGATGAAATTCACTTTTCCTCATTTGATGGAAAGTTGAAGCAATGAGGGATTCCAATTCCCTTGGAAAACTTGAACCAATTTACCAAACATGGGAAAGTGGTGGAATTCGATTCCAATTCCCCCTACTGGAATGTTTCTGAGGGAATTGGAATATGTCAGGAATTGGAATCTAATTCCATATTCTGTTTGGTTGGCAGACATGTCAGATGAATTTGATTTCAATAATATAAAATGACATAATTGTCCTTCTTGTTTTTTGTTTTATTTTAGTTTGTTTTACAACTGACATGTAGTAATATATTATAAAAAACTTAAAATATTAAATTTTCATTTTATTGATTGATTATTCATTTCAATAAATTATAAAAATCATGCTAATAAACATCATAAGTTAAAATCATCGCAATCAAAATATGTTAATAAGTTACCAAAAGATAGAGCAATATTTCGATACATTCCAATCGGAGTATGTTAAATTAGTTACCAAAAAATATGCCAAAAACTATTTTTATTCAATATATGAATTAGAAACCCGGCCCGACACGATACGAAATAATAAAAAAATTATTTTTATTCAATAAAAACTTGACTTGATTGAAAAAAACTATATATAGAGGGGTATTATTATAATTATTCATAAATATATAAGGTAAACTTATATATTTTTTTCGGGTCGGGTCCGGTTTTTTCACCCTAAACCCGAACCTGACCCGAATATCACATTTAAAAAAACCCGACCCGAATATCACACTTAAAAAAACCCGACCCGACTCGACCCGAATATCACACTTAAAAAACCCGACCCGACCCGAACAAAATAAAGTTTCACCCGACCCGAATATATTAATTAGAAGTCCGACCCGACCCGAAATAATAAAAAACTATTTTTATTCAATAAAAACAGTGACTTAATTGAAAAAAAAAATTATATATAGAGGGGTATTATTGTAATTATTCCTAAATATATAAGGTAAAATTATATATATTTTCGGGTCGGGTATTTTTCACCCTAAATCCGAACTCGACCCGACCCGAATATCACACTTAAAAAACCGACCGACCCGACCAAAATAAAGTTTCACTCGAACCGACCTGAATATATGAATTAGAAACTCGACCCGACCCAAAATAGTAAAAAAATATTTTTATTCAATATATGAATAAGTTACCGAAAGATTAATGAGGGTAATATGATCAAATTTCAATTCCCTCCAACAAGGGATTTCAATTCCCTTGGAAAACTTGAACTAAACATGGGAAAGTGATGGAATTAGATTTCAATTCTCACCAATTCCAAGGATTCCAGCAAACCAAACGCCACCTAAGAGTTTATAAACAAAGAAATTTGTATTGGAATAATTAAAATGGATTTAAGAGTCCTTAAATGCAATCTCGATATATCAAATTATCAAAATAAACTCTTACAAAACCATTAAAATAACATAGTGAGCTTGAAAGCACAATTAGGGACGGACACAATAATTTTTGTCAATGGATACGAACTTAAAAAATTATATCAAAAATTTAAGGAGTGTAAAATAAAATAATCAATAAAAAAATACCAAAATTACCAAAAATATAAAAAAAAAATCTTAAAATTTTCTAGGGGTGTGGATCCTGAGCACAATAACATAGTCAAGATAAAATGAAACACAAAATTACATAAATTTAACTTTATTATGTATCTAACAATTGCCATGTCAGAAGACTGTTGAAACGAGTACGCGAATCATTGCTCGATTTGCTGTTTCATTTCTCTAGGGTTAGAAAGTGACTAATCATATAATATAGGAACGCAATATATATATATATATATATATATATATATATATATATATATATATATATATATATATTAAAATTGAATTAAAATATGAAAGTAGATTAAGGCGGTGTTTATTTTCACTGTGCAAGCTCTTCAAACCACTTATGTCTGCGTCGCGCAGACAACGCGCATACATTAGGTTTCGCAGACTGTTTGTTTTTTAGAAGACAGAAGTTCTTCCAACGTCTGCGCGAGCTCTTCTTGGTGCAGACTTGATTTTATGTCTTCAAAGATCTTCAAACCTCTTCAAGAACAATTATAAAATATAGTTATTTATTAAAATAATTTTAAATAATTTAATAAGGTTATTTATTTTAAAATAATTTATTTTAAAATAATTTATTATAAAATAAATTATTATAAAATATGGATTGATTTATTTTAAAATAATTTATTTAAAATAATTTATTAGTATGGATTGATTTATTTTAAAACGTGGATTGATTTATTTTAAATAATTTATTAGTATGGATTGATTTATTTTAAAATATGGATTGATTTATTTTAAATAATTTATTAGTATGGATTGATTTATTTTAAAATATGGATTGATTTATTTTAAATAATTTATTAGTATGAATTGATTTATTTTAAATAATTTATTAATATGGATTGATTTATTTTAAAATATGGATTGATTTATTTTAAATAATTTATTTGTATGGATTGATTTATTTTAAAATATGGATTGATTTATTTTAAATAATTTATTTGTATGGATTGATTTATTTTAAAATATGGATTGATTTATTATTGTAGTTGTATGGATTGATTTATTTTAAATAATTTATTATTGTAGTTGTATGAATTATTTAAATTTCAGTATTGTAAAACTAAAATTATTTAAATCTCAGTATTGCAAAACTCTTTTAAGTTTAAAAAATCAGTTTATTTATATTTCAGTTCATTTTAGCAGTCTGCAAACGTTAAAAAACAAACAGTCTTCTTCTTACAGACTGTAGACTTTTGGTACACATCTTCTGCTGCAGATGCCTGCAGATGTGGTTCGCAGACTGCAGACCTTTTACCTCTGAAAAAACAAACACCACCTAAAACTTTTAATTGGATTTCATTCCATAACTATGCGAGCATAACAAAACTAAATTAATATATATACAAATTAAACTTTAATATAAATGGATCCCTCCCCTTTAATATGTACATAATGCTAGTCATAATCCTATTATTCTATTGGTCAAATGATATTAGTACTTATTTTTCTTTTTGTATAATCATTGGTTTCTAATTTATTAATCGACTAATTCAGATCGAGTATTACAGAGGTAAGGACGATCGTCTCAACCCAGTTTACTCCATGCAAATGATAGGATTCGAACCCCTGACGTAATATGTATTATTCAAGATTCAATTATGTTTATTTTCTAATTATAATATATATATATATATATATATATATATATATGAATAATTTAAAATTTTACAAGATAATATTTATTCAGAATCTTTCCTAGTAATTGATAATAAATATACATTTTGCAAATATAATTGTTCGAACTTAAAATCTCTAAAGAGAACAATATTTTTTCATACCACTAATACCGTTCAAAATATTCACTAAAACTTGAATTAAAATATCTTAAAATAGAACTTGAATAATAGATTACAAATTTTAAATTGGATATCATTTTATAACAGTATAACTATTTGACTACGAGAAATCTGAATATATATATATATATATATATATATATATATATATATATATATATATATATATATATTTTCGAAGAATAAATTAAAATATATCAAAGATAGAATAAAATTTCTGAATTGGATTTCATTCCATAATTATCCAATAATTAACAAACTGAATTAAAATATTTATGTTTTTTAAAGTTGAATTAAAATACTTTTAAATAAAACTCGAATAATAGATTACAAATTTTAAATTGGATTTTTTCCATAACTAATCATTCAAACATAACAAAACTGAACTAAATTAAAATTAGCATTAAACAAATCTGGGAGTAAATTGAGGGGGAAGTGGAAACACAACAGCTAAACCCATGAGCCAGGGAGCATGTGATGTGGTTTGTTAGACACCTGAGATTTGACCTGTTGCTTACGTGGCAATACATGGTAGGTTTATAATTTCATTATCACATGACAACTTGCCCATTGTATCTAGATACTCACACTTTCATTTCATGGGGCACAGTCCCTGAATTTCACACAATTTCTAATTTAGTCCATCAACTCCCTATAACTTCCTCAACTTGTCAACTCTTTTAATTTGATCCCCTTCTTTATTTTAACAATTTTTATTTAATCTCTAAAATTGAATTTAATTAAAAATTAAAATGAAAGATAGAATTCAAATTTAATAATTAAATCAAAATCATCAAATTTAGTGATTAAATATTACTTTATTTCCTTATTTTTTATACACTTTATTTCCTTACTTTATTAAGAAAAAAATCCAAAACCATCTGTTTACAACGTTAGTTTACAACCAAAGGGTCCACTTAGTCTTCAATATTAAAATGAAAAAGAAAACACCCCATGTAAAAGAAGAAGACAAAGCAACCTTTTCCTTAAAGTTAAAAACTGAAACTTTTCTAATGCTTTGATTGAATAAAAAACTTTGCTTTGAATTCTTTTCGTTTCTTTTTCCATCTTTGCAACAAGCACCAAGAAAGGAAGAAAAGAGAGAGAAAGGTAATGATTTATATAGTCAATCATTGGGGATGGCTGATAACATTAGTATCACATCTCCTACTCATATCTAAATTTGTTGTTGTTTGCTTTTTTTTCCCTCTGAACAAAGTGGTTTTTTTTTATAAAATGTTTTAGTTTCTCTTTGTTCGTATATCTATCATCTCGTCAGATACTAATGACTGATTCCAGTCTAATGGTGTATGAGTAACTTGAACTGAACGGAGTGAGCCGTTTTCAATCCCAGCTGTTCTATTTGTAGCAAAGTTGCTGTTGTTGGAGGTGATGGGACAATTGGCCCATCAACATCAGATATAAAATTCTTTTGTCTAGAATCTAGATACACTTTTCAATACAATTTTCAATAGTTTCTTTATCCGTTTTTTTTTTTGAATTTTATGCACACTATCTGTTTGTTGTTATTTTTTCTGTACATTTCTTCATATATGAAAACTTTACGATAGAAATGTTCACCAAGGATTTACTTTTTGAAGAAAAAAAAAGTTTTGAAAAAGGTGATGGTGGATTGGGATTTGGAACCATCAAAGGTTAAATTCTTATGTTTAGGTTGGTTGAAAAAAAAGCTTCACTGGTGATTGTATAACTCGGAAGAAAAAGTTAACCCGTTCATCTGTCAGAATCTTCATATCAATTGTGGGTGATCTTTCACTTTATGGCGATTTCTACAGTAAATGTGAACTGCTTTTTAGGTTTTAATAGTGAGCCAGCAAGGAATCTGAGGTTAGCTTTTTTGTTTTCTCGTTAGACTATTTCTAGACTTGAAATTCTTGAAGTTATCAAATTATTGATTACCGGGTAGGAATTTTGGATGAGAATTATAAAGAAAACTCATATTTCTTCTGAAGAAAAATTCTTTTGCTTATTGTTTAAAGTTTTTTTTATAAAAAAAATATAAAACAGTGAAATGAATCTTCAAGTACCTCATAAATGCAACTTGTACTTTTGAGTGTTTTAATTTATCTTCCCCCCCCCCCCCTTCTCTTTTTTGTTCTGATTTCAACTTGAGTGGGAGATCATTTCAATTTGCTGCAAATTTTTAATCGTTTTGGATTTATTTAACTTTGTTTGAATAAGACTTAGCAATCTGAGCTTTCCATTGATTTCTGGGTTTTCATCTTTTTGCATTGTCCCTTTCATAAATGTATTTCTCAGTTAGAAACCCTGATTCTCTTACCGTTAAATTCACTATGAACTAATCTCTAGTTATTAGTATTTTGAATGTCATTTATCATCTTTGATTTTATGATTTTTCAGAAATTTCTTTACCTTTTCATTCATCAATAACTAAGTAATTCTCGGAAGTTCGGATTTTGTATGATGGACCAAATTGCTATTCACATACTCCATGGGGGTGTTGAAAATTAAAAAAGAACAAGTTGGGCTGCTAAGTAGCAGCCGACTGCTAAAAAAAATTAGGGAATGTGGTTTTTAGTCCCTTTGCACTTTAGGGTTAATTACAAGTTTAGTCATAAGTTTCAACTATAAATACCCTAGCTCATTTAGCTTCAATATCATCCCAAAAATCATTTCTTTCTCCCAATACTAGAGAGCTTTCTTGTGAGTAGTGAGTGTTTTGTAAACACCTGTAAAATTTCTCTCTTAGTAAAAGATCTGCAGCAGTCCGGAGACGTAAGCAAAATTGGCTGAACTCCGTTATCAATTTCGGGTATTATTTTTCCGCTTTTATTTCGCATTCTCACTAATCTGGTTATAGGGAAATTACTTGTACTCGGTTTATTTCCTAACAACTGGTATCATGAGCTTTTGGTTGTGAATTTTGCCAATTTTTTCTGCGAGATTACTATTCACGTGAATAGTGAATTTCGTGAATAGTGAAATTTTGTCGGCGATACGAATTTGTCGACGGAGGTGTTCAAATACACGGCGGTTCGCAAAAATTGTCAAAAACGATTCAAAGAAGCCAGATTCGAGTGGGAGCGATGGTTGCAGACGAAGGGAATGTGAAAATTGAAAAGTTCGATGGTGCGGACTTTGGCTTTTGGAAGATGCAGATTGAAGATTTTCTGTACCAGAAAAATCTATATCAACCTCTTTCAGGAAAGCAACCAGAGGGCATGAAGAATGAAGACTGGGCTCTTCTCGACAGACAAGCCCTCGGAGTTATCCGACTGACGTTATCCCGCAATGTTGCTTTCAACATAGCAAAGGAAAAGACCACGGCGGGTCTTATGGCGGCTCTCTCCAGTATGTATGAGAAGCCATCAGCCTCAAACAAAGTTCATTTGATGAGGCGATTATTCAATTTGCGGATGACGGAAGGGGCATCGGTGGCACAACACCTAAATGAACTCAACACAATCACAACCCAGTTGAGTTCAGTGGAAATTGAATTCGATGATGAAGTTCGAGCTTTAATTCTCTTATCATCTCTACCAGACAGTTGGAATGCTACTGTTACAGCAGTCAGCAGTTCGTCGGGAAACAGCAAATTAAAATTCGACGATGTTCGGGATCTGGTACTGAGCGAAGAAATTCGACGGAGAGAATCGGGTGAAGCATCAACCTCCTCAGCCTTGCACACGGAGTCTAGAGGGAGAACTTCAGAAAGAAATTCAAATTGTGGCAGATCCAAATCCAGACGGGAAAAATCAAGAACAGTAAATAAAGATTTTACCTGTTATAATTGCGGCAAGAAGGGTCACTTTAAAAGAGATTGCCGAGCACCGAAGAAAAATACTGGCACACAGGAATCTACCAACGTGACAGAGGAGACAGGTGATGCCATGATTCTAAGCGTCAACAGTCCGATTGAATCATGGATCTTGGATTCAGGGGCATCTTTCCACTCCACCCCATGCCAAGAAATCATGGAGAACTATGTCAGTGGTGATTTTGGGAAGATTCATCTTGCTGATGATGAAACCTTAAAGATCGTCGGAAAATGAGACATCCGACTAAAGCTGCCAAACCAGACCACCTGGAAGCTGACAGGAGTGAGACATATTCCTGGCTTCAAAAGAAATCTGATTTCTGTTGGACATCTAGATGGAGAAGGATATAGCACAACCTTTTCAGGCTGTGAATGGAAGATTACCAAAGGAGCACTCGTCATTGCTCGTGGTAAGAAGACTGGTACTCTCTATGTAACCTCAAATTTAGAGAATATCATTGCAGTAGCAGATGCTGATGGAAAATCAAACCTATGGCACCAAAGGCTTGGTCATATGAGCGAGAAAGGAATGAAGATACTTCTGTCAAAAGGGAAGCTGCCGGATCTAAAGAATGTAGATGTCGGACTATGCGAGGATTGCATCTTTGGCAAACAAAAGAAAGTCAGTTTTGCAAAGATTGGCAAGACACCCAAGGCAGAAAGGTTAGAATTGGTTCATACTGATGTATGGGGACCATCCCCAGTTCCATCTCTTGCAGGCTCACTATATTATGTCACCTTCATCGATGATTCAACAAGGAAGGTGTGGGTTTATTTTCTGAAGAAGAAATCAGAAGTCTTCGATATCTTCAGAAAATAGAAGGCCATGGTGGAAAATGAGACTGGTTTGAAAGTCAAGCGGTTGAAGTCTGACAATGGAGGAGAGTACAGAGACAGTAGATTCAGAGATTTCTGCGCAAACAATGGGATTAAGATGGAGACAACAGTTCCCAAGACACCGCAACATAATGGTGTAGCAGAGCGCATGAACAGAACTCTGAATGAACGTGCCAGAAGTATGAGGATACATGCCGGCTTGCCCAAATTTCTATGGGCTGAAGCAATCAACACTGCAGCTTACTTGATCAACCGTGGGCCTTCAATTCCCTTGGATGGCGGAATACCAGAGGAAGCTTGGAGCAAGAAAGAAATAAACCTTTCACACTTAAGAGTGTTTGGTTGTATTTCTTATGTACACATAAACTCTGCTGAAAGAAGTAAACTTGATGCCAAGTCCAACAAATGCGTCTTTGTTGGTTACGGTGGTGATGAATTCGGTTACCGGATTTGGGACTACGAAAATCGAAAGATCATCAGAAACAGAGACGTCATTTTCAATGAAAATGTGATGTACAAAGACAGGTCAACCGCAGAATCAAGTAATACCAAAGCTGAAACAAAGGAATTTGCTGAGTTCGAGGAGATTTCTGGAAATGATGTTCAGATCAGTCCTGAAGCAATTCAAGAGGAAGAACCAGGCACACCAGAACTGAGACGCTCCTCCAGAATTCCTAAACCAACCCAACGGTATTCTCCTTCTTTGCACTACTTGTTGCTGACTGACAATGATGAACCAGAGTGCTATGATGAAGCAATGCAGGTGGAGGATTCAGTCAAGTGGGAGTCTTCAATGAAAGATGAGATGGACTCGCTTATGTCAAATCAGACGTGGGAAGTAGCTGAATTACCATCAGGCAAGAGAGCGCTCCATAACAAGTGAATTTACAGGATCAAAGAAGAGCACGATGGGAGCAAACGCTACAAAGCAAGATTGGTAGTCAAAGGTTTTCAGCAAAAAGAAGGTATTGACTACAATGAAATTTTCTCTCCAGTCGTAAAACTGTCTACAATCAGACTGGTGTTGAAAATTGTAGCTGCAGAGAATTTACATCTTGAGCAGTTAGATGTAAAGACAGCTTTCCTTCATGGTGATTTGGAGGAAGAAATCTATATGAGGCAGCCAGAAGGCTTCATAGAGACAGACAAGAAAAACCTGGTATGCAGGTTGAAGAAGAGCTTGCATGGTCTAAAACAAGCTCCTAGACAGTGGTACAAGAAGTTCGATAGCTTCATGGGTAGCAGTGGTTTTATCAGATGTCAAGCAGATCATTGTTGCTACATCAAGAGGTTCAACAACAGCTTCATTATTTTATTATTGTACGTTGATGACATGCTCGTTGCTGGCTCAGACATGCAAGAGATTATACACTTGAAGCAAAAATTGTCGAAGCAATTTGCTATGAAGGATCTGGGCGCTGCAAAGCAGATTCTTGGGATGAGGATCAAGAGAGACACAAAGTCGGGGACTTTGATGTTATCACAGGCTGAGTACATCAACAAAGTACTCTCCAGGTTCAACATGCAAGATGCTAAACCAGTAAGTACACCTTTAGGTGTTCATTTCAGAATCTCCAAAGAACAGTCACCAAAGACGGAGGAAGAACGTGCACACATGGTGAAGGTGCCGTATGCCTCAGCAATTGGAAGTCTGATGTATGCCATGGTTTGTACCAGACCAGATATTGCTCAAGCAGTGGGAGTTGTTAGCAAGTACATGAATAATCCAGGCAAAGTACACTGGGAAGCAGTCAAATGGATCCTCAGATATCTGCGAGGTACCACAAACAAAACACTTTATTTCAAAGGTGGAGATACGATACTGACAGGCTATGTAGATGCTGACTTAGCCGGAAATGTTGACATCAGAAGGAGCACTACAGGGTATGTCTATACTCTAGGAGGAACTGCAGTGAGTTGGGTTTCTCAACTACAGAAGATAGTTGCTCTCTCCACAACCGAAGCAGAATATGTCGTTGTTACGGAAGCCAGCAAGGAGATGGTCTGGCTCCAAAGTTTCTTGGAAGAGTTAGGCAAGAAACAAGAAACAAGAAAACAATGTCTTGTATTGCGACAGTCAAAGTGCTATCCATCTAGCAAAGAATCCGTCTTTTCATTTCAGGACGAAGCACATACAATTGAGATATCATTTTATCCAGTCTCTTCTGGAAGATGAGATTTTGAAACTTGAAAAGATCAGTGGAGCTCAAAATCCGGTAGATATGTTGACAAAGACGGTGACCACGGACAAACTGAAGTTGTGTTCAACTTCAGTTGGCATGCTAGAATAATAATACCAGAAATGCTGCTGCATCGATCGAGGTATGAAGACGGATTAAAATCAGGCTTCAAGTGGAAGATTGTTGAAAATTAAAAAAGAACAAGTTGGGCTGCTAAGTAGCAGCCGGCTGCTAAAACAAAATAGGGAATGTGGTTTTTAGTCCCTTTGCACTTTAGGGTTAATTACAAGTTTAATCCTAAGTTTCAACTATAAATACCCTAGCTCATTTAGCTTCAATATCATCCCAAAAATCATTTCTTTCTCCCAATACTAGAGAGCTTTCTTGTGAGTAGTGAGTGTTTTGTAAACACCTGTAAAATTTCTCTCTTAGTAAAAGATCTGCAGCAGTCCGGAGACGTAAGCAAAATTGGCTGAACTCCGTTATCAATTTCGGGTATTATTTTTCCGCTTTTATTTCGCATTCTCACTAATCTGGTTATAGGGAAATTACTTGTACTCGGTTTATTTCCTAACAGGGGGCTTACTGAATTTTATTGGAATTGATCCATGGTTAAGCTCACTTGTCATTTTTCTGGTCTATTTTCACTTTCTTGCATACCTTTTGGTTGAAATATCTTCCCCATAATTTAAATATTCCATTGGATCTGTTAGTGGAATCCACTACTGAAATAACTCAATAAGCCTAGGACTATTCTTGAAAATCCATGATTTTGGATATGCATTACAAGCTTAGTGAATTCAGTTCATTCTTCCCGCAGGCGATTTTCTAGACAGTGGACTGAGACAAGCCTAGATGTCTGCGGATGAGCCTGGCAATAGCTCCGAGTGGAGTAGGGAGCAAGATAAGGCATTTGAAAATGCCCTTGCAACTTATCCTGAGGACTGTTCTGATCGATGGGAGAAAATTGCAGCTGCTGTACCTGGTAAAGCTCTGGAAGAGATTAAAGAACACTATGAGCTTCTAGTGGATGACGTTAACCGCATTGAATCTGGGTATGTGCCTCTCCCTCCTTATGATTCTTATGACAGTTCAGTGGGCCATGCTGGTGGTGAAGAAATCGGTAAGAAAGGAACTAACAATATAGGTCATAATAACAATGGATCAAACCATGGTGGTAAGAATTCGAGGTCCGATCAGGAGCGTCGCAAGGGGACTGCTTGGACGGAGGAGGAGCACAGGTGAATTAGTTCTTCTCGTTTATATTTTTTTTATTTTTTGTTCTTATTTTGATTGACATGTGTTACTTCTGTTTTGCCCTTTGGAACTTTAATACTTAGTATTCTTCATAATTTATATTCCGTCACTACGTGCATTTATTATATTTTGGAACCGCGTATCCTATCCGTATTTAGAATCATTATTTGACAAAAATGTTTGCAAAAATTGCTTTCCACCTTTTGATCAATCTGTTTGTCGCTTATTGTTAGTTAGTTGTTACGAAGATTAGATCTTCAGCGGTTTTCCTACTTCTGTGTGTTATTCTGAAGCTTTTGACGTCTGTTGGTCAGTAGATGTCCATTAGATGATGAACATATCCTGAAATGATGTGAAATAATAGAAATGAATATCGAATTTCGATGTTACCACGTGGAAGATATATCTCAAAAGAGAATAATTATGCTATCGTCACAGCTTACCTGTGTGACACTTGTGGTTGTTATAGGTTAACCGTTTTATCTTCTCGTGCGTGCTAAACAACCATATATCCTAACTTTTGACTTAAAACCGGTATTTTTGGTTTTATTTCTTTTTCCTGCATATGTCGATCGTGTTCAACATGCTGTTTAGGTATAACAGTTTTAGCTGTATTATTCTAAGCAAAAACAAAAATGGTGTTATCTATGGGTATATTTCTTTAAGCTTTGACAAAAACAAGCCATGGATTCCTTTTATTCTAAGCAAAAGCTGTATTATCTATAGGTTAATCTTTAATCTTCATGCTCATTTCCACCTCAGATAAGCTATGGTTCATTGCCTTTTCAAAAGAGGTTTTCTTCTTGTTATAAATGTCCCCCCCTTGCCTTGGTCATATTTAGAAAGTTTGCTTTATAGTTTCTTCATGATCCTTTGTTGGAGAGAGAGAAGGGGGGGGGGGGAGGCATAAAAAAGGTAAAGAAAATGATCTTCACTGCACATTTTTTTAAATACCCCTTTATTGATTGAAATCAAACTTGAAAGAATTCCCAAGAACATTGGAGAGACCTGCTTGTGGTGCTCTCTATAAACTCTGTTTTAAAACAGAAAGATGATAATGGTTATGACGGTTGATCTTACATGGCAGACATGACATTTCTAAAAAAAGGGCTCCATCATCATCACTGACTGCATTATCATATCTTTCTCACCGTGCAATTTGCTTCCCAAATCTCATCTTTGCTTTCTTTTCCTTTCCTTTCTTATGTTTGTATTAAAGCAGTTGCAGACATCAGAAAGCTACAAGGCCAATTCAGAAAGCTTGAAATATAGTCATCATCTTTTCTTTAAATCTTATCTTTTACAACCCTATGCTCTACCTTTAATCTTTTTTAATGTGCAAGAGCATGCAAACAAAAAAGTTAGGTCCAACACCCCTTTAAATGTCACAAGACAAATCCAAGATTCATCCATCATCACAAAAACACAGCATCTCTTCCTTGATCATAGAAGTTGAAAGAGAAAAAGATTTCCATCTCATTCATCAAAAAATGAAGAATCAGATACTTGAACAAGTTGTTGGAGTTCCAATGAAATCAACATTGTATCAAATCGAGATAACGCCAAGACGATACTTACCAGACGCTGCTGGCCAGTACCACATCCCATCATCTGCTGAAGGGTCTAACAAATTTTTAAAAGGTATATTCTCCCTTTTAATCTGTGATGGGTTTAGATGTTCATAGTGAAGATATTTTTAGTACTGATGAGAGGTTTTCGTAATCACAGGCAAAGGAAATTTGATGAAAAAACGAAGAAAGCTGACACCTTTGCACACGGAGTCCAGGAACATGGTACGAAACACTTTAAAGTCTAAACACACATATATGTAATATACATGTGTGTGTATGCGTGTATCTATGCATCAAGATTAAAATGAAACGAAAACTAAAGGAATTTTTGAAACTGCAGTGAGATTGGGACCAGAGATCACTGAAACTGTGAAGAGAAAATTGAGTTTGGGGGCAAGAATTCTTCAAGTTGGAGGAATGGATAAGATATTCAAACAATTATTTAGTGTCAAAGAAGGAGAGAAGGTGTTGAAGGCATGCCAATGCTATTTATCAACAACAGCAGGTCCTATAGCTGGTTTACTTTTCATCTCATCTCAAAAAGTTGCCTTTTGCAGTGACAGAGCAATCAAAATCCCATCTCCTAATGGAGAATTCCTCGGAGTCCATTACAAGGTTCGTATGTTTCATCTGTTTTTATTTTCTCCTTCCCAGATTGAATAATTTTGCACCCTTCAAATCATATGTTTTTTTTATGCAGGTTATGATTCCACTTGAGAAAATAAAGGGGGTTAATGAGAGCGAAAACATGAAGAAACCATCACAAAAGTACACGGAAATTGCGACGGTAGATGATTTCGAGTTCTGGTTTATGGGGTTCTTGAATTCCCATAAAGCTTTCAAATACCTTCAGCAAGCGATCTCCTAAAGACTAATGCATGATGTTGATGTACTACTAGTCACTTTCTAGGTGGCTTACAATTGTATTCTCCACTGTTTCACCAGATTATTTTTGTTGGTGAAATCTGTAAAAATCAACAGTTCTACAAATGTTAAAATATTTTCATTCCATTGAAATCCATGACCAAATATAGGAGGCAATCTAAATTCTAACTTTGTCACCGGTGCCGGCTATGGAGTCATTTCGAATGGTGCTCGCTGCAGCTGGAGGTTCGTCCTGAAAATCAGCAAAACAAACTCTGCTACGTCCTGCGCACCAGCTAGTGTTGGCAAGTATGGCCCTAACCAATAGGAGCTCCCCATGTGCATATCACTTTTGAAGTGAGAGTCTCTGGACCAGGAGCAGTGGTTCCTGGTGCGCCAATGAACACGGGGCCTACGACATGGTTATATCGATACCAAGTTATTCACAATTATTGCTAAACTTTTGTGATTATGCACTACAAATAACATTCAATCTTCGTATTCAATTGTGAAGTCTATTAAATCGAAATCGTTAAACATGAGGAGGAGGAGGATCCACCCACATACAAAGATGTTATATAATCTGTTAATTCCAAGCTTTGGTAGAAAGCTATGGATGTTGAAATGGATTCCATGAAATCCAAATCAATATGAGAACTTGTAGATTTATCAAATGGAATAAAACTCGTAGGATGTAAGTGGATCTACAAAAGGATACAACTCTTTGGTTACGTAACAAATTATCAAGAGAAAAAAGGTTTGTTACAGATATTCATCTACAAACTCAAGCAGGCTTCTACTTGATGGAACCAAAGATTTGATCAAACAATCAAAATTTATGATTGTGAGCATAAAACGATTTCCTAGTCTAATATGTTGATGATATTATACTTATTAAGAATGATGAAGAAATATTATTATCGATCAAATTATAATTAACTCAACAGTTTACATGAAATAATTGAGCGATACTGACTACGTTTTAGGTAGTGTACCAATGTTCATATACACATTATTATATCTCATGATGATCGGTGTCAATAGATCGAAAATGTTTTTCCAATGTTAGAAAGTTGAGAATTATTAATATATATTTTAGTTGGAATTATCTTATGATTATTTATTATATTTTAGAAGTTGAGCATCTCATTACAAAATTTGTGTAAATATATAAATATAAATAAAAACTTCTAAAATTTTGAATGATTTTTTTATCTTTTTCCCTCAAAATTAAAAAGAAAATATTATATCATGATTAATTCTACCTCGACGTTTTAAATATCTAAAAAGCTTTAAATGAAATTGAAAATTACATTGCTTAGGTGGTGTCAAAACAATTGCTTAAATTTTAGAATTCAAGCAGGAGAATTCACGGGGACAACTTTTAATATTTTGCATTGATTAAAGTAAATAGACTAATTTCTCAATCTATGTAAAGTCAAGGGACTATTCACGGTTTTTTACCCAATAATGCCATGCACTACCTTTTTGCCGCCACCCTTTGAACCAAAAATTGTCATGTTACCGACACTTAACGCCAACATACCATGCTGTGGGGAATGGTATTGTTAATCTGTGATTTTTTTTTTTTTTTTTAATTATTATATAATTTTTTTTTACATTTTTAAAATTTTATAAATTCGTTTTAATATTATATTCTCCCTGGTGACTAGATTTGCTAGAACATTAAAATTCCATTGGTATATTCCTTTAAGCTTTGAGAAAAGCAAGCCGTGGATTCCTTTTTGGTTAAGTAATAGCTTAGCTTTATTATTCATAGTTTAATGACAAAAATTAGGCTATCTTTAATCTGCATGCCCATTTCCACCTCAGATAAGTTACACTTCATTGTCTTTTCAAAAGAGGTTTCTCATGGTCATAGATGGACCATCATCTTGGTCATATTTACAAGTTTCTGAATGATCAAATGGTGAAGAAATAAGACGGGCCAAAGAGATTCTACACACAAATTCTGGGAATTTTAAGTCCCTAATGAACTTAGAAATTTCAAACTATTTTTAGCCGTTTACAATCAAATGACAGAACCATTAACATTGAACCCCAGACTAAACCTTGTGTTTACACCATTGTCTTCATACAACAAGTCTTAAAAATCCCAGTATAAAATCTTGTATCTATCCTTGATAAAACTATTAGTGGAGCTACCTATAACCTGGGAAAGTCTAAACTACAACCGGTTAATATAAGAATAAAAAAAAAGCTGCAATCAATTGTAACCGAAAAACTTATTAAGCGCATAATTCTTTAGAATAAATTAGGCAACATTTTAAGTTAAAACTGAAAATATTACATTATCCATGACAAATTATATAAATTGCATAACTATTTTACTTACAACCTAAAAAGTTACAGTTGAGAAACTCATGTAGCATTCTCGTTGTAATTGAAATTATTATTAATTGTGTAACTTTTTTAAGTACACATACTAACATTTTAAGTTAAAACCCACCGTAGTATGATATTCTCAATTGTAATCGAAATTATTATCAATCATATAACATTTTAAAATAAACAATAACTTTTAAGTTAAAATCTGTAGTAAATTAACCTTAAATATATCTGCCGCATAGCAGAACTGCCACTACAACCTGTCTTTTAAATAAAGAAAGAAGATAGCTGATCTCACATGGCTGACATGACATTTCCCGAAAATGCTCCATCGTCACTGACTGCATGGTCGTATCTTTCTCTCCTTGCAATTTGTTTCCCAAATCTCATCTTTCCTTTCTGATGTTTGTATTAAAGCAGTGGCAGACATCAGCAAGCTACAAAGCCAACTCAGAAAGCTTGAAATCTAGTCATCACCTTTTCTTTAAATCTTATCTTTTACAACCCTATGCTCTACCTTTAATCTTCTTTTATGAGCAATAGCATGCGAACAAAAAAGTTAGGTCCAACACCTCTTTAAATACCATAAGCCAAATGCAAGATTCATCTTTCATCACAAAAACACATCATCTCTTCCTTGATCATAGAAGCTGAAAGAGAAAAAGATTTCTATCTCATTCATCAAAAAATGAAGAATCAGGTACTTGAACAAGTCATTGGAGTTCCAATGAAATCAACACTGTATCAAATCGAGAGAATGCCAATACGATACTTACCGGACGCTGCTGGCCAGTACCGCATTCCGTCATCCGCTGAAGGGTCTATCAAATTTATAAAAGGTAGATGTTCCCTTTTAATCTGTGATGGGTTTAGATATTCATAATGAAAATGTTTTTAGAACTAATGAAAAAGTTTTGAATTGCAGGCAAAGGGAACTTTGTTCTTAAAAGGATGAACAAGCTTGGAAAGAAGGCTGATACTTTCGCCCATGGAGTCCGGGAACATGGTATGATACACTCTAAAGAGTAAAGACTGTATGTATGTATGTATAAGAAAACTGATGTTACCTATGAATATGCAGTGAGGGTAGGGCCAAAGATCACTGAAACCGTGAAGGGAAAGTTGAGTTTGGGGGCAAGAATTCTTCAAGTTGGAAGCGTGGATAAGATATTCAAACAATTGTTTAGTGTCGGAGAAGGAGAGAAGCTGTTGAAAGCATGCCAATGCTATATATCAACAACAGCAGGTCCCATAGCTGGTTTACTTTTCACCTCATCCCAAAAGGTCGCCTTTTGCAGTGACAGATCAATCAAAATCCCATCTCCTGATGGAGAATTCCTCAGATTCCATTACAAGGTTTTGCTTCCACTTGAGAAAATAAAGGGAGTTAATGAGAGTGAAAACGTGAAGAAACCATCACAGAAGTACATGGAAATTGTGACGGTAGATGATTTCGAGTTCTGGTTTATGGGGTTCTTGAATTACCAGAAAGCTTTCAAGTACCTTCAGCAAGCAATCTCCCAAAGATACCTAAATGATGTACTGCAAGTCACTTTCTAGGTGACTTACAAATGTGTTATCTTCTATTTCATCCAAATGTTTTTGTTGATGAAGTGTGGAGAAAACAGTCAGCTTTACAAATGTAAAAAGATTTTCATTATTTTGAAATACATTTCTCATTAATTTCTACATATCAGGAGTAACCCAAAGCCGAATGACTGCACCATCTCTTTCTCAAACCTCTCATTTTCTCAATTAACAAAATTTAACAGGACTTGTTGCTGGTCCAATCCTTGGCCACCCAACACAATTGGTGCAAAATCAAATGGCCCTTTGTTGGCTTCTTTGTTCCCGAGGAAGTTTTCCCCTATGTCATCTTCGTCTGAAGTATAGACCGTTTTAACCAATTACTATCTGTTGTATGGAAAAACTGGCTAAAACATCATAACGAAACTCCGATACAATCAATCTTTTCCGATGTAGTGGATTTTGAAATATTTTTTAGGATTGACCTATATACGGTAATAACATAATTTTTTTCGTATGAAATGAATATAAATAAAATTTTAGAATAAACGTAATCAATAAAATAAACGACCAATATAAAATATTCAAATTTCAGGCCACTGAACTTCACCTAAATCCGCCACTGACGGGAACCTAGTTCTACTCTGTCTAATGAATGGAACCACTTGTAGTCAGGCGGTGAGTCTTCGTTTTATCTTTGCGGCTCGGCAATGCAATAGTATGATTAGTTTTCTGCTAAAAGATGGACCCTAAAATAAAATTGGATTTAAATTAAAAAAAACTCAATTTAACCATTTTTATCATCAACAATTGCACTTTCTTTTTTTTTCATTTTCACGTCCAAATTTGATAATGTACAAGAAATCTAAAGAATAATTTAAGAAATAATCCAAACAACGAAAAAGAACTAAAATTATATGTATTTAATGAAGGAAATATAATTTTTCTATATGTATTGTCTATCAAATCCCGAAGCTTTCGAAGTTCTATATACTTTGGTCAGCTACTGTCTCTTGACATGACCGAACTCACGTGACCTACTAGTTAAATTTACTATCTGACAGTCATATCTATTTACCTTGTTAATATACAAATAGCTCACTCCAAGCATGACACCAACACTAAGAGCTTGTATATAAATTACTATGCAAGGTTAGCGAAGGAGATCGGACTTTCTCTCTTGAGATTGTTCATTATTTTCTCTAACTCATTTATTCTCTCTTTCTCCCACTGAACAATCATATGCAACTCCTCATCCAAACCAAAAGGAATAAACCATCAAAAAACCCCAACAATCATAATTTTCCCCAACACGATCCCAATAACACCATTTTCCACCCTCAATTCGCAGGCCAATTCTATTGCTTTCTACCCTTCTCCTTGTGATGAAAAAAAAATGTTACGATCCTCATCAATTAAGTATCCATGTACACCTTAATTTTTGCATCAACAATAGTTACTCATGATCTAAAACAGTTTCAATCTCCATTCAATGTTCTCTCAATTCGGATTAGATTAGCATAATGAAATATGAAGAGAGTTTTCTGAATACTATTTAGACGAGGAATTAGTCGCCTCTTCTTCTAAATAATGTTTCCAAAAACAGCTTTATTCCAGCATTTAGCAGCCTCAATGAGTAGGCGGATTGTATCATATAAAGAACTTAAATGGTTTAACCACCGAAATTTGTCCTCTGTGGACTATCATACACTCTTGTTCCCATATCAGTTCTATTAATCCTCCAATGGATGAACTGCATATGACTATAAACAACAATAACACTGACATCAGATCTCCACCCAACATACTCATTAAGAGAACGACAGACCCACTCTGCGAATAACTCTATCTGCCTTCCTTTCGCTTGTTCTCGTCTCTGACAAAAATACCAAACTCACAAGATGGCAGGCGCCATAGGAGCCAAGCTCACAACAGATGCTGCATGGCCCCTTTTCCTTTTTGAGCTGTACTAGGTTTATCATTATGAAACCAATGATCAAGCCGGCATCAAGATGGAACCAGTTGCTTCATCATCACCCGTAATTTCCTTTCTTCAGCACTCTCCGTTGTTGACTTATGATATTGTTCTTATGCTACCACGATTTGCATAGGCGTGGTGGAAGGGAAAGCAACTCCCACTTTTTGCATTTCATGATCCAAATGGTTTATCGACTTCTCGAACAAGGAGGCCCATCTCCAAGACGTATCATGCTCAAGGCAGTAACAACACCTTAACATTTTGTAAGCGGAAAAAATAATTCGGAGGTGATGAGCTACTGTTGATTGTTCCACCCATGCTGGTTGGCACGTGCAAAAAGAAGTTTGATTGTTTTATGCATGGTTGATCAAATTAGATGTCATTTAATGATACTTTTTACTCGAGCTATCACAAAGATTCACTTTATTACCGTATTTAAAAGTTACCAAAATCAAACATTTTTTGCTAAACCCTTGTTTTACACTGAAACACTTAAATTCACTTTAATTTAAGACAAAGATTAATATCTAATAATCACCAAAACATGCTCGGTGACAAAGAACATTACTTGAACCTTCTAATCTAAACATCAACTTTGACAAGTGCAAAGCACAGCTCCGAGCTCACCCGAAAAGACCAGAGCTGCACGATATTGCCATTCACGAGTCGATTATTCATCACGACTGAGTTCCATGCTGTGGTCATCGCGTAGAGTTTGTTTTTCCCCATCTCCCACCTATTGAAACTCAGAGTCGTTTCCTCCATGTAAGGGTCTAACAACCGCACTTCCATTGGATTCTTGCCAGCCAATTGTTGAGCCTCCGTTTCGGTGAGGAAATCATGCGTTCTGAGTTGGGAAAACGGCACAGAGAATCTACTGGCTGTGGGGTTAACATCGGAGTAAAAAAGAGTCTTTTGAATGGCCAAGATCAAACCCGAACCGCCCATATTTTCGAATATTTGCCGTTTGAAATCATCCGGCAAGTCAGGTGTTGACATTGGGCGGAGGGGTTGCCCTTTCTTGCTTCTCTTCGGCTTGGGTTTCAGTCCACCTTCCCATTCATCTTCACCATCTTTTTCATTGAACGGCTGTTTCCTTTTCATCCCCGCGTTCTCGTTGAAGTTGAACGCCACATTTTCTTGCATGCAAACAGACTGAGGTTGCCGTGCATTATGCTGAGAACCCTTCAAATCGCCATGGTCATCGCTTTTCTGCAATTTTTATTCCTCAAAAAGACCACAACTAGGATCAATCGCGATATGATCGAAATCATCAAGACTCAATTGTTCCATCATCTTGTTTGTTCTCTACTGCTCTGCGATTGTAACTCAAAAAGAACAAAGCTTTTTTATCTTTTCTCGGCTAAACAAAGGTTGTGATTTTGCAACTAGTAAGTGCAATGGGGTGTATATATCTACAATTATTTACTTGACCAAAAAGTTAGGGTTTATTGAGGAGAAAGGCGGATTTAATTTTTTTATTATATTCCTTTTATGATAATTCTATTTTATTATTATTTATATTTTGTTGTTTGAATTATTTTATACTTAAAAACATTTTTTAAAAATAATTAAAAATTGAAATGATATTGAGCATTCCATTAACTTCTTTCATATAGATATTTTATATAGTATTTAAAGCATGATTATTTAAAATAAATTGGAGATAATTATACCTTTAAATTTATCGTTTTAAAAATGTTATAATAGTAATGATATCAGTCTAACTAATATTCAATCGAGTCTTCTTTTATATATATATATATTTTCAAATATTTATTTGTGAAAAATTATACATAATTGAATGAGACATTTGATATTTTCTTAAAAATATTTATAATTTTTTATTGATGATGTTTCAAATAGTATTTTTTATAGTTAATTTTATATATCAATAATTTGTTTAGTGCTTTTAGCTTTATTATGCATACTCTAATACAAGGACGAACATATATGATTTTATGTTAAAGGTTCAAACTTATAAAATTTTAGAAGGAGAAAACATATTTTAACTATAAAATACAAAGAAAATATTTAACATATAGAAATTCAAACATTTTAGGGGGCCACCGTCCCTCCCGCCACATTCCCTCCCGCCCCCTTCTAGGACTATCCCTACTTTGATATTCACATATAAAAAGAAGTGCAGAGTCGACAGAAAGCATAAAGCTAGGGTTAAACGTGGTACTGAGCAGGGAGTTTGTAGAAATGAAGTCAGAGCTGATCATCGAAGCAAGACAGATTAGCTTCCTCATAATTTAGACTCATGGATAAGCTTAAGCACCTCGTTGCAAACATCAAGCTTTTGCCTTTGATGTCGAGGATTCACATGGGCCAACGAGTCCACAGCTCTACTCTCGCAGTTCTCAGTGTCCTCTTCAATCGTCATTGAGGAGTGTCGCAACAACCACTCCCTCTGACCAAAACAGAGTCGCAAAAAAATTGAAAGACTCAAATATTCATAAAATAGAAATTAGAAAAACGAAATTAAGAAAGAAGCAGACTAAGCTTCTTATACAAACATTAGTGAGAGAGGGAAAGGTTTGATGATTAAGTAAAACGTGAGATTAGAGAGTGGTTACTGAAGAGAAAGAGTGATTTTGAGTAGTGAGTAGTGAGTAGTGAGGTGGCGGATGATAATATTAGTGGTAGAACTTGGTGATATAATTTGATAGGTCAACTTAAAATTTTAAAAAAAGTAGAGGTTTAAATTAAAAATTTTAAAGGGCTTAGTTTATAAATTTCAAGAAAATTGGGGTCTAACTAAATTTTTAAAAATTTTGAGAGAATAAATGAAATTTTTTAAAATTATGAGAGGGATTTAATTAAGAATATTTCAAAAATTAAATCTTAAAATGAATTTCTAAAAAAAAAATACGAGTTAAATTTTTTTTTTTTAAATTTCAAAGGTTCAAATTGTAATTTTTCAAATATATTTGGGATCATGACCCTAATATATCCTTATCGTATTCTTCCTCTACATGATATCCTTCATTCTTTCCCTAGTGACCATTTTTTTAGAGAAAATAACTTCAGTGACCGAAAATGCCTTATA